CTTTTTTTTTTTTCCCTCCCTGGCTGCTTGAGGATATACCGCCATCATGAATGACACAGTAACCATCCGAACCAGGAAATTCATGACCACCCGACTACTTCAGAGGAAACAAATGGTCATTGATGTCCTTCACCCCGGGAAGACAACAGTACCTAAGACAGAAATTCAGGAAAAACTAGTGAAGATGTACAAGACCACAGCAGATGTCATCTTCGTGTTTGGGTTCAGAACCCATTTTGGTGGTGGCAAGACAACTGGCTTTGACATGATTTACGATTCTTTGGATTATGTGAAGAAAAATGAACCAAACATAGACTTGCAAGACATGGCCTTTATGAGAAGAAAAAGATGTCAAAAAAACAGCAAAAGGAACACAAGAACAGAATGAAGAAAGTCGGGGGGACTGTGAAGGCCAATGTTGGTCCTGGCAAAAAGTGAGCTGGAGATTGGAGAACAGTCGAAGGGGTAAAGATTCTGCAATGACTATCTGCCGTGATTGTGCGAATTTTTCATGAGGATTAATAAACTAAAAAATTTTCAAAAAAAAATGTTAATATTGTAACTTTCTTGTTAAAAGAAAAGAAAAAAATGCTTGGGGAAAAGCTGGAAGGAAGGTCTCCAACACATCATACCCTTGGAGAACAGATAATGACTGATTACTGATCTGCCTCTGTTTACTTTTTTACAATGTGCACACTAGTGTGATAAGGGATTACAGTAACCATACCTCCCAATGACCAGGGCATGGCAAACAGCTGACTCAAGGAGCTTCTCAAGATTCCTACCAGGTCACTGGTACTTTCAATTGCCAAGTATATTTTCCATTCTCCTTCCTTGGGTTCTTTGCCAGGAGGGAAGTATGTTCCTCTGATGGTAATTCCAGCTTGCAGAAGGCAAAGGCAGAAATCACCAGGCTTATAAAAGAAGAACGGATCCGACTGCAAAATTCATACCAACCAGCAAATAAAGGGAGATACAAAGTCTTATAATCATCTGCAAAAAAACCTTTTTCCTGTGCTGACCTGTGATACACGTGACAATGTTGTCTGCAGTTTACAGTGTATTGTAAATTAGGATTTTTAAAATTCTGTCTTGCTGATGTTTTTAAATACAAGAATCCAGTATTTGCTAAAGAAATCTGTCAGGAAGTACCCCCACAATTAATCAAACTATTTAAAGAAACATTGTTTTCAGAATATGATGCTCTCTAAAAGAACACTTAAATATCAATATTTTAAATATCTGGAAATATTTTAGAGGCTTGAAAAATGAAAATATTTGGACTTTCTATTGAAGGTAATAAAGTACACGTCACAGAGGGGGAAAAAAAAAAAGATTCCTACCAGGGAGGAACGGTAGAGACAGCCCTATGGGAGAGGCCTCCAGGACCCAGGGGCCTAAGGGGGCTGGTAGCCTCTGGTCCAGAGCACATGGAGCTGCTGAGGTCAGGGTGGAGCCCCAGGGGCTTCAGATTTAAAGAAACATTGTTTTCAGAATATGATGCTCTCTAAAAGAACACTTAAATATCAATATTTTAAATATCTGGGAATATTTTAGAGGCTTGAAAAATGAAAATATTTAGACTTTCTATTGAAGGTAATAAAGTACACGTCACAGAGGGGGAAAAAAAAAAGATTCCTACCAGGGAGGAACGGTAGAGACAGCCCTATGGGAGAGGCCTCCAGGACCCAGGGGCCTAAGGGGGCTGGTAGCCTCTGGTCCAGAGCACATGGAGCTGCTGAGGTCAGGGTGGAGCCCAAGGGGCTTCAGCACCATCCACTGGAAGCCTGGAGCTGGCCTGAGAAACTGTACTCCTGCCTCAGTGATTAGACCAGCACAAGCCCGCCCTGCGTGGATGGCATATTCCAACCAAGGTCCACCTTCTTCCCACAGATCCCTCCTCATTGTGGATGGACTGAGGGCTCCCCAGCCCCAGCCAGGCTGTGCCCCTCTCCAGTGATATGTGGAGCACAGGAAGGCCGGTCAATGAATGCCCAGGTGATGGGCCAGACCTTGATGGGGCAGGTCTGGGCTGTGCAGATGCCTCGGGACCACACCTGGGAGCCTGAGGCTGAGAACGAGATGAGCCTAGGATGCAAGTGCTTCCACAGGCAGCACCCCGGCCTCCAGGTCATCCTTTCACACACACAGAATTTCATCTCAAACTGGCAATGGCTCATCATATGCAATCCTGAGGGGCATCCCCAGAGGAGTCCTCACTCCCCGGGACCTCTAGGTGAAGAAGGGCCTGTAAAATATCAAGGCCAAAAGAGACCTAAAGATTGGCCAGCACAATCCTTCAGCCAACCAGTGGGGAAACAGAGGCTGATTGGAGAAGTGACTTGGCAGGTTCACAGTGAGATAGTGGCAGGCCCAGGAGTAGACAGAACCTGGGAATCCCATCTGATAGATTTGAGGGGCTCAAGATCCAGAGGACAAAGGCTGCTCCGCACCCAGCACCCCACCAAGCAGCTCCTACCAATTGGAAGATGCCCTGAGTCCACTCCCATGTGCCCAGCGAAGGAGTTCAGGACTCAGCCAGGGCTCTAAGAGGAAGGAGAAGCTGGGAGGGAGAGGCTGAGGCTGGGGGGCACTCTGGATGGCTTCAGTATGGCAGCAGCTGTGCCACAGAATATCTGCTGATGTCTTGCTGACACTTCTCATGGGCAGCAAGCTCCTCTTGAAGCCACTTCACTGCTGCCTCTTCTTCATCCTGCTCCTCCCTGAGTCCTTGGAGAATGAGTGTATGGAGGGAGAGAGGGAGGGTGGAGACCCCTGCCACTCAGAGATGTGGGCCTGACCAGGTCTCAACACCTGTAGCCAGGCCCAGCCTCAGTCCTAGCTGGCCTCCCAGGTCTAGAAGGACATGGCTTCCCTCTTGTGTGGCCTCCGTACCACAGGCCGTGGCTGACATTACATGCAGGGAACAATTCTGGGGAAAGGCATACATCCAGTACCTTCTGCTTTCCCTGCTCCTAACCTCGGGCTCCACAATGCCCCACCAGGTCTCCTTTGTATGAAACAGGAGCCAAGAGAGGAGAGGAGAGGCAGGACTGTGCTCCACAAAGGAGACTGGGGGTGGGGGAGTGGGAGACTGGAGAGAGAGTCCAAGAGTGACTTCGCGTCAGCTTTCGTGGTGGCCAAAGGTGGCTGCAAGAGGGAGCTACTGGAGCCCATAAGTCCCCTTTCTCCCCCTTCTACCCTCTAGGTTTCTGGTAGGGTCCTCTTCCCAGCTCTACTCTGACACCCCACCCCACTGCAGTGCAGGGAGTGCCAGCTGGGTGGGGTCCTCGGTGTTGACTGAAAGTGAGTCTGTACCGGGCACTGGTGGCAGAGCACACAAGGCCACTGGGCCTCTCAAGGTTGGGGAACTTGTGGGGAATTCATATTTCTGGTTCCGGGACTGATTCAGAGTCAACCAATATTTATGAAACCCTTAATGGAGGTGGTGGTAGTAGGAACAAATTCCTGGGCTTCTTGCAGCCCCTTCCCAAGTGGAACACTGAACACATCAGGAAGGATGCAAAGGGGAAGGAGCTCCTGCACCAGCTTGTAATACAACTGGGTCTTCTCATCACCCTGTCTCTCACTGAGCAGGCAGGTCCTCGCTACCCACCCACACCATGTCTCCTCCCTCCATCATCTCTGCACACATGGGAAGCTGTGATGTGCAGGGGAAGCCGTGATGTGCAGGGGAAGCCATGATGTGCAGGGAAGCTGTGATGTGCAGGGGAAGCTGTGATGTGCAGGGGAAGCTGTGATGTGCAGGGGAAGCCTGGTGTGCATAGCAAGGCTGTGAAGTACATGGGAAGTTGTGATGTGCATGGAAGGCAGTTGCTTGAGAGGCATAGAGACTTAGAAATGGGAAAATTTCCAGAATTGCTATTTTCAATCAGCCCATTCACTCTTCATAGTTGCCCAAGTAGCAGGCACCATGAAGCTCACTTAACAGACCGTAAAACGAGGCTCCAAGACAGTGGCTTAGAAAATTAAGCCCAACCACAATCCTAAAATAAGTGACATATGTCCCTCCTGGGTGGTCCCGCCTTTCCTGCTGTCACCACTAAAGTGCCAAAATCCCTTTCAGGTTCAGCCGCTT